GCATAACAATCTTGGTGAGTGTACTACTTTCAGTAACACTGGGCCAGCAAATGTGGTCTAGAACTCTGCACCCTAACAGCTACAGCTGCAAATTTCTGGTTCTTGGGTGGAGCAAAGGACATGATAGAAATGTGGAAGTCCATCTCAGGAAGGTCTATGGGCTTGTTCTATCCATTCCATCACGGGAAGTCCATCTCAGGAAGGTCTATGGGCTTGTTCTAGCCATTCCATCATGGGAAGTCCATCTCAGGAAGGTCTATGGGCATGTTCTCAGAGCTGTACTCAACAGTCAGCTGCAGGATGAAGCCTTCAGTACAACCATGACACTGGAAGAGGTATTTAAAGGCCCCTCCCCACCTGCAGGACTGCTGGTTGCTGTAAGAAGCATCCGTTCGTGGTTGTGATAAAACAGTGGTATTTGGACACGCTTTTCATTTCTTGCCAGATAAACTGTGTGCTAACAGCTTGCAGGTAGAATCCAGGCTTCTGAGACTTGAACTGCTCATTGATGTTGGATTTATGAGGGAGTCTGGTCATCCAGCAGGAATATCTGCTGCCGCCTCCACAGGCTTCTCTGTGTAATAACTGCCTTCTGAGTTATCTATCTGCTGCCAGTTTGCAGTACTCCACATGAACAAATGCTTAGGGGAAGCTTCTCAATTTACTAAAATTGCCAACTTTCAGATTTTTCTCCAAGGATGGCTCATTACTGAGGTTTTAGCCTGATGGAACAGACTAAATATGAACTTTATCTTCTTGCCCATGCCATAGACCTGTGTGGTAGTGTGCACAATAAATGACAGCCCCAGGAGTTATAAATGACCACTCTGATTCTGAGCCATAGATTTGTCACATACAGAGGGTCATGCTTCTTTGGGGGATGTTATGAGCCTTCTGCTGGGCTTGGAGAAGGCTTGAAACAAGAAGGGTTTTTGTTTTTAAAGTTTTATTTATTATGTATACAGTGTTCTGTCTGCATGCCAGAAGAGGGCACCAGATATCATTACAGATGGGTGTGAGCCACCATGTGGTTGCTGGGAATTGAACTCAGGGCCTCTGGAAGTGCTGTTAACTGCTAAGTCATCTCTCCAGACCCCCTCCCTTTTTTCTTTTGAGGCAGGGTATGTAGCCCTGACTGAATGAGAAGTCACTATGTAGACCAGGCTGGGCTTGAACTCACAGAAATCCACCCGCCTCTGTCTCTGGAATGCTGGAATAAAAGGGGTGCTTCACCACACTTGGTTCAAGAACCCGTTGATCTCTTTCCCAAACGCAAGTATAGGCTATATCTTTTTCATAGACAACCATATAGGACTCATGTTCTGACAAACAATATTCAGAACTACATGCCAGCCTGTGTTTGCTCCCTTCATTCCTAGCTGGTCTTGAAAGGACAAGTGTGGGAATGCAGGAGGACAGACAGTAGGTGAGTGCTAGTACGCAAGAGAGACATCAGCTAGCGCACGACTGTAAGAGCGTGTTCCAGCAAGCATGAGCGTGTGACTGCATATGTGAAGGAGTGTATTGTGAGCTTGCGATTGTGTGTGAGGAGTGCAGGGTTGCAAGTGTGCAGGGGTGTGTGAGGAGGAGCTTGGGATTTTAGAAGAAACAGTCATATTTGTGAAAATAAATTAGAGGTGTATTAAAAGGAAAGCTCTCTACAGCAGGAACCCTGCATGTCTTTACACTCAAGAACATACTGAGGACATAGCTCTGTGTTTATTGAGACACTTAATCCTCAGAACCATCCATTATACAGAGAAGTCTGAGCCTCAGTGAGAATAAGAAACTCACCACAGAGAAACGCCACAGCATCAGGTCATACTGCAGCCATCGCTTCCTACGGAGAAAAGGCCAGGCATCCACAGGCCACAGACACAGCCATATGGGCTTTTCTCTTTGGTTTGGGAGAGAGCCCTGGAGGGTGCCAAGGCCTTTGCTTCAGATGGGCCCTCTGAAGTTTTGCATTGTGACGTTAGCAATGTGATTACCTCTGCTTCAGGCTCTCCCTTGCATACAATTTTCTAAAAAGAAGAGAAGCATGAGGACACTAGGGTGCCACCGAGTGTCTGCTGGTCTCACTGGCACAGCCTGGGACTGGAGTCTAGCCGCTGCTCCACAGTGTGACCTTTAAACACCATCAGTGATGACCCAATATGGCTGGATTCTCTAGTAGACTCTCCCAGTCTATGGACCTAGTGCTTCCAGGGACATGGGCACAGTCAGAGAACAACAGCCTTGTGTACAGGCCACTGGTCACAACTGATTCTCATGTATACAAGGTCCTCCGAATATGTGCTGACAAAGTAAAGTAGAGGCTGTTTGTAAACAGGGATGAGCAAGAGAAGAGGATCATGCTAGCTAATTTCTCCCAGACCCAGACCCTTTTAATGTATAAAGTCTAACAATAGTGAATGGTGTGTGTCTTTCAATTCTTATGTACTTTGGTCATGATAGGAAATTTTTCTTGGTAAAGAACTTAGTAAATAACTTTAGGCAATGCCACTTTCACTCATTTTGTATATAAAATAACAGAATGCTCTATTAACACCTTAAGATCAAGACACTAAAAGCAGAGAAATCCCCCACAAAACTTTTAACTTCTATAATTTATCTGGAGAAATAAATGAACCCTAAATGCTTATTGTCTGAACTTTGGTGGAGATAAAATTTTCAACCTGGGCTAAATGGCTAAACTGAAACTTCTAAAGTTAAACAGATTTTAAGTCCAACATAATACAGAATTAAATACACATTTAAATAGAAACGGGAATTTATTTTGTTTCTTTTTTCCCATCACAGTAGCTGAAGGATTATTTTCTTCTTTTACTTTTCTATGCCAATGATGCCAGACTTCAAAGGAACAATAAACAGCAGACTTGTAGTTGAGGGCTATGGGAAGGGCTTTAATTACTACCCAGGTAAAACTGTGTTTCCCACAGATGCACTTCCCCAGCCCAGAGGGCAACTGCTGAAGCCACAATAGCTTCCTGCTCCTTCTCTAGAGCTCCCTGGTCTTGAACCAGGGAAGACAGTAAGCTGCAGCAGCCCTCTGTCATACTGTCAAAGCTGGACAAAACTAACACTATAACTCACTCAAGCAAGCTGCTCCCAGAGCCCTTGTCTGGCCTCTGTGGCCCCTGGCTCCTCTTAGAACCTTGTTAAAGGACAAAACATTCTTATACCAATTCCAGTGGGCAGGAAAGTCCAGGTCACACTAACTTCACAGATCAGCACCCAATGGTGGCATTACACATAAATGGTTTCTTGAAGCAAAACCCCCATTTATACAATGCTTAGGAGAACACAGAATTTCAGAACCAATTCTTTATATGTAGCTGGGCTTTTTAAAAATTTTTTTATTTGAGAATTTCATATCATGCACCCCAATTACATTCATTTCCAAGACTTTCTATGTCCACTCTCCACCCTTGTAGCCTCCCCTTCCAAAAAAAAAAAAAAGAAAAAAAGAAAAAAGAAAAAGAAAAGAAAGAAAATAACAATAAAAACCCCTACTTTGCTCCTCCTCCTTACCCACCCCTCCATCATATATTTATTTGTCGTGGTAGTATTGGGAGCTACAGAGACAGCTTTACTTGCAACTGTTCATTGCAACAAGTCTGCTCTTGTTCAAGGCCTCTGGCTTCAGCTACACCCTCAATACTGGACCTCCACCGAGACTCCTCTTGGATATCCTGTTGCTACAGTCATGGAGATCCTGAGGTTATGGTTCCGCAGGACCAGGTCCTTCATGAGCTTCAGCAGGTCACAGATGGGTTGATGTTGGGGTGGGACTGGGCAGTAGCTGAGGTGGTCGGCCCAGACTTCCACAGGACCAGCTCTCCTATGAGTGGCAGGGCCAGCGAGAGGCAGGACCAGCTCAGCAAAGCCCTTGGAGGTCAATATGGCTTTTGGTGGCCATCCAGACCATGTGTTAGGATAATGTGACACGGGTTGGGACCGTAGGTAGCAGGGCCAAGGTCCTGTGATGGATCGAGTGGATCAGTGTCCCGGGGCAGGTGATGGACAACAGCGGGCAGATGGGGAAACAGGGACCTGTAGACGTCACTCATATTGAAAGTTTTTGTTGAGACAGAGACACAGAGGCAGTGAGAGGACAGAAGAGAAGTGTGTGTGAGAGAGGTGGGGGGGGGGAGTGCTGTCTGCCCCAGGAGAACAGCAGGAAAGAGAGAGAGCATAAGTTAGCGGGGGGGTAGGGGGGCCGGGCTGGGGCGGGGGTGTCTCTTTCTTTAAAGGCATTCTTTGCACCTGCGTGCAGACTAGTACTCATGGAACCCTGGGCTGACCAGGATCTTGCCTGAGTGCATTCTGCCACGGGCAGGGGCAGGCCAGCATAATGCCTGAATCCTTACACCATGGGCATCCATGTGACCTTTGGTGGTAACAGAGGCCACAGATACCACAGACTCCTGGCTTCGATATCCTCCCCGGCAGCACAGGCCCGGGCTTCACTTGGCCTCAGGTGGCAGCGCAGGCCACGCACATCTGCCTGTTCCTCACCACCGCAGTGTCTCCAGTTCTGCCTCCTCAGCGCACGAACCGCTCCGGCGCTAATCTTTCTCTCCCATTTCTCTACCACGTATTCACCGCTCATCTTAGTGGTGCCTGGTGGGCGGGCCTCTAGAGCCAGACGTTTTAAGTTTGCTACGCTGCTTCTCAGTTTCCTTGTCTTATTGCCATGAAGCTCTGTAATCTACATTTCTTTTCTTTCTTTTTTGTTTTTTGTTTTGTTTGTTTGTTTGTTTGTTTTTCGAGACAGGGTTTCTCTGTTTTGTTTTGGAGGCTGTCCTTGAACTCCCTCTGTAGACCAGGCTGGCTTCGGACTCAGAGATCCGCCTGCCTCTGTCTCTCGAGCACTGGGATTAAAGGCGTGTACCACCAACGCCCGGTGTAATCAACACTTCTTACGTTCATGTAGCGGAAGAAAGATAAAGCAAAGCAAAGCAACCCAAGAGGGTTAAGAACATCACAGATTAAACTATATGCCATCAAAGCTTTATTCTTGTCATCTCTGTTCTGTTCAGTGTTGGTGAACATACGCTGGGGTCCAATAATGAAGTAACATGCAGATGAGTGACAAGAATAAAAACCAGACAAGGGAGATAGAAATGTCAATCACACGTTCAAAGTCAGTCATACAGTTTCTTCAGGTATTCTTGGATGCTCACTCACATGAATTCACATACACTGTAAGCATGGATAATGCTACCCATTATCTCTACAGGATAAAACAGATTCATTCCATAGCCACTACTGTGGCAACCCTGCAAAAGTCTTCAGGATGCCTAACAAAATTATATCCTCATCATTCATTTTCTAATTTGGGGGACGGAAATAGAAAAGAACATAAACAAAGCATGCTTTTTGAGGTTTCTTGGGTCGGTTAGTAGAAAAATAGGTGTTTCTCTGGGGAGTTTGCTGTAGTGGAGACTGGGAAGCTGAAGTTTCTGAGATTCACTTCATCAGTCTTTAAGGGAGTGGTAGGCTTTGGCGGTGCGGCTGTTGACAAAGTCTGTCTTCTTAAACTGAGCCTGTGGAAGAAGCAGACAAAAACGCTACTAAGTCCTCACATAAATGTGGAAAGGTCTCATCCTTCATCAGTCGAAGAGCATTTAAGTTGGTTCCATCCCTGACTTTGGTGAATTAAGTACAATGAACATGGCTGAGCATGTGTCTGTGAGGCAGGATGCTAAGTCCTTAAGGCTTGACAAGGAGTGGTATAGCTGGTCATAAGGTAGGTTTCTTAGCTTTCTGAGGATTTTCCACACTGATTTCCAGAGTGCCTGCCAGTGCAATCCCAGCAGTGAATGAGGGTACCACTTTCCCAACAATCCTTGCCAGCTTTTTTGTTTTGTTTTGTTTTTTTGATACAGGGTTTCTCTGTATTGTTTTGGAGGCTGTCCTGGAACTCACTCTGTGGACCAGGCTGGCCTCGAGCTCACAGAGATCCGCCTGCCTCTGCCTCCCGAGTGCTGGGATTTGTTGTCATTTGTACTTTTGATTTTAGCCATTCTGATTAGGGCAAGTGGGAATCTCAAAGTAGTTTTAATTTCCATTTAATTAGCATTTTTTCAATTGCTAAGGCTGTTGGAATTTTTTGTTTGTTTGTTTTTTGTTTTTCTTTTCTTTTCTTTTTTTTTTTTTTGGTTTTCTCTGTGGCTTTGGAGGCTGTCTTGGAACTAGCTCTTGTAGACCAGGCTGGCCTCGAACTCACAGAGATCCGCCTGCCTCTGCCTCCCGAGTGCTGGGATTAAAGGCGTACGCCACCAACGCCCGGCCTTGTTTTTTGTTTTTCGAGACAGGGTTTCTCTGTATTATTTTGGAGGCTGTCCTGGAACTCACTCTGTAGACCAGGCTGGCCTCGAACTCACAGAGATTCGTCTGCCTCTGCCTCCCAAGTGCTGGGATTAAAGGCGTGCACCACCAATGCCCAGCTTGTTGGAATATTTTTTGAACCTAGATGCCCTTCAATTGATGAGGGAATAAGAATGAAGTTCATGTATACAGTGGAATTCTATTCATCTGTAAAGAAAAAATGAAGTCATAAAATTTGTAGGTAAATAGATGAAACTAAAACATATTATACTGAATGAGGTGCTCAGGACCCTAAAAACAAGTCACATTCCTCTGTTACTTTGTGGCTCCCAGCTTTTAATCTTCAGATGTACAAAAATAACCTGGAGTGCCTGCAAATCTGGAAAGCCAAGAGAGACCAAAGTAGTGCCAGGGAGTGAGGGGAAGGTGGAGGAGGGGAGAGAAGGAAAGGTGGGGGAGGGGAGTGAGGGAAAGATGGGGGGAGTGGGGGGAGGTGGGGGAGGGGAGGAGGAGTGAGGGAGGGGGGAGAGGGAGTGAGGGAAGTTCTTGAGCAGTGACACAGGTGACATGAAGGAGGAAATGGCACTTTAACCAGAAAGGGGAAGGCAATGCAGAGGAAAAGTGAGGGAGGGAGGATAAATAACACTAAGGATGCTTGAAGAGACATAAGAAGTCATAGTTTCCTAAAATTACCCGTGATATATATGATATACATAGATACACAGCTTAAAGAAGTTCTGCCACTTGGGGTGATAATGCCCCCAGCAAAACCCCTGGTATCAGACACGAGAAAGCTCTTCTTGCTTTGTTGGTCAAAGGAGCCCAAGAGACTCCCAAAGCAATATCAGCCATTACTGTCTCGTGGGGTTGCCTTCAGCATTTGGGACACAGGACTTGGAGGAACTGAGCTGGAACTGACTGGGAAGCGCCCTTCCTAAGGAATGGCTCTCATGTGTAGGAAGGTGCTATGTAAGTTGCCAAGAGAGAGGAGCAGTCAGTACTTCTGAAGTGACCTGCCTCCCGTTTTAGCAGCCCTGACAGGCTAACATGTGTTCATCTGACCTTGCTGCTCCCGTCCTGGTCACTAGGAGGCCAGATGCCCTCCTTGTGGCAAGGAACCAATCAGAAGTTAGCTGGGGGGCTGTGCTTTACAGCTCTGGGTGTGCTTTAAGGCCAAGTGCACAACAGTGACTTGAAGAGCATAGCAACCGCCCTGGGAGGGCCTATGGGCCATAACAACCAGTTGACCAATCAGCACAGGGCAGGTCGTCCAAGCTTGGAAGTGCACCAAACCTGAGACTGTTGCATGCCCCTAGACACTCCCCTTACGCTGCCCTATAAGACCCCTGCCTCATGATTTCTTGGGGTCTTTCTCCAGCCATCCGCTGCGGTCAATGAATGAAAGGCCAGAACTAATGGGGTTAGCTCGTTAAACAAGTACAATAAAAGACTCTGCGTTTGCATCAAAATGGGCCTCTTGGTGATTTTGGGGCTCAGAATTTGGGCACAACACTTCTACCCAGAAGTAAAGCCTGCGTGCCACAGCAATGACGGGTTTCGCAAGATAGCCACAACACTGCAAAAGTGGCACTTATAATTCGGAGATAATCAATAACGGTTTAACTGGGCTTAAAGATCACTCGATAGGACTGACATCATATCTGGCATTGTAAACCCTGGAGAGGTCTTTTCCCCCAGAGGAGAACCGACTACTGCCAGATACTAAACCAATATAATTTCTAACGATTCTAAGTACATTTCCTTACAGCCACAGAGAAGTGTAGCTATCACTCCTCATTGAAGCTTCCTTTTGCAACATACAGAGACTATTACAGAATTCTACAGAGAGCAAAATGCAGAGAATAAGGAACTGTGGAGTGCCTAACCACAACTGGTAAATTTGCAGTGCAACCCCTATATCTAAGGCTCAGAAGAAGGGACAGGAAGGCTTTAAGAGCCAAAGGTCTACAACATCTGTTGATATAGTGTCCCCTAGACATGGCTGGGAAAATGGATCCATGGACTTTCAATAATAGGACTGAACAATACCACAAAATGGCACCACCAGTTGATGTGCCAATGTGGACAGGGGAAATCCCCTCTCTTAGACGAAGAGCTACAGGTCAAGGGCCACCAAGAACAAGAATCAATTGCTCCCAGGGATGAATTCCTACATTGGTTGTCTAAACACATGTGGTCACTCTTGGATTCAAGCAAAGCTTAACTCAGTAGGTTACATGTGTGCATATATATATATATCAATAATACTTAGGAGAACCTGAATTTGGGAGGGCCAATGCAGTGCCCATGTATGAAATTTTGAAAAACCAAATCAAAACAAAAACAGTAAAACTATTTAAATACAAAGAAGAAGAAGAAGAAAGCGCAGTTATTTGGTGGTTTCTGATGAGGACCAGGCCAAGTGTCACATTTTATCTGGCCAGCTCTTACCTTCTTGTAGGCGTTATGGAGCTCTGTGTGTGCCCACATCGAGTACAGGAGGACAGAAGCGGCTTTGCTGGCCTTGTTGGGGGCATAGCTGAAAAGAGAGGTGCTTGTGGGTCAGTGAGAACGTGGAGCTCTGGCCATCCCCTCGCATTCCTCTACTGTGGCTTCAACAGTTGCCACTTGTCACACACAGAGGACGAGCTTTGAAAGCCAGAGTTCACTTTTTAAGGAGCTGCTTTATAAATCATAAGATTAATGCTAGTAAATAGTGATCGATGGAGAAAAATCCAGGGTATTTATACATGTTTTAAATCTTTTTTAAAACATAACTTATTTAACTTTATTTTATGTGCATTGGTGTGAAGGTGTCAGATCTGCTGGAACTGGAGTTTCAGACAGTTGTGAGCTGTGTGTGGGTGCTGGGAATTGAACCCAGGTCCTCTGGAAGAGCAGCCAGTGCTCTTAACCGCTAAGCCATCTCTCCAACCCCCATGTTTTAAATCTTTTAATTTATGTATAGAGCCTTTACATTTGTATATTATGGTATATATCTACAGATCCCAATGCAGAAAAACAAGTGAAAACATGTATGACTCTGAAACTAAAGGACCTCACCAATGTAGGGGCAAACCAATTTTTTTTTCAAGTTAATAAAATACACTCTTTTGGCAGTACTTGTTAAATAGTTTTAAACGCATTGTTTTTAGCAGAGAATTTACTGTCACAATCCAGTTCCCTACTGCATTTGTCACAGCACTGGCTTTTGATGTCCCAGTTCTAAATGTGTCCTAAACGTCCCACTTCTGGCTCTTTCTTTTTAGATTCATTGTCTTCTACTGCCTACTAACACATGGCTGTATTTTCTTTCTCAAACAAAGAATGTGGATTTATTTGCCTTGGCACAAAGGTCTATTAACATGCAATCAAGATTACAGAAAGCAAAACTACAATGCATAAAAATGTTGAGCTCCCTCTCAGCTTTCTCTTCCACAATGGAAGCTTTGTGGGAAGAAGAGAGACATTAGCCTCCTACAGTGTTCTTAGTATCCTAGGGACATTCACTTGGAGGAAGTAAAGTCATTAAATTATAGGTCTCTCTCTCTCTCTCTTTTTTAAAGATTTATTTATTATGTATATAGTATTCTCTCTGCATATATGCCTGCAAGCCAGAAGAGGGCATCAGATCTCATTATAGATGGTCATAAGCCATCATGTGGTTGCTGGGAATTGAACTCAGAACCTCTGAAAGAGCAGCCAGTGCTCTTAGCCTCTGAGCCGTCTCTCCAGACCCCCAAATTATAGGTCTTTTTTTTTTTTTTTTGGTTTTTCGAGACAGGGTTTCTCTGTGGCTTTGGAGGCTGTCCTGGAACTCGCTTGGTAGTCCAGGCTGGTCTCGAACTTACAGAGATCCGCCTGCCTCTGCCTCCCGAGTGCTGGGATTAAAGGTGTGTGCCACCAACGGCTGGCAATTATAGGTCTCTTATATTCAAAACTCTGTAAAGTTCTTTAATGACAAGGGTTTTATATTCATAATATCTATCTTTAAGTTTTTTGACACTTGATTTTTCTTTTTTAAGATATAATATGGTAGAATCCCATTTTACCTATAGGCTACTGTTCTTAAATCACAACCATTGCTCTGGGAAGCTAATTAGTCAGATGAGTAAATACCAGAATTCACAAGTAAGAAAACAATGGTGTGTGACTTGGTTTTCTAGAAGAGAATGGATGGCTGTGTAGCTTGGTTAACTCAGTTATTTCCTTGTCCACCACCAAGAACTAAAGGAGATACAGCCCAGATCTGTGATGCTGCTTGTGGCCTTGTTGCTCATAGGACTTTGTGAAAGGTAACTGCAGTTAGGGCATTCATACAGTCATGTGGAGGGAAATGCAGACACCAATGGGCAGGTACTAGGAGCCTTACCCTTCCCCTATGCTGATGGTCATAATTTTCTGCAGGCCTCCAGTGTTCAGAAGGTCCCGTGCATTCTGGTAACTATTCTGCATTAAATTGTTCAATGTATAGCAAGCAGAAGCTGTAGTTTCAATGAGAAGGTCAGTACTTGGGACTGTGTCAGGAATTATGGAAACCAAATCCGGTAGAGTTTCTTTGGCTACAAATTGAAAGAAAAACAATGCTTGGTTAGAAAGATTTTTCTTTGGGGAGGACGTGTGTGTGTGTGAATGTATATGCTACACATACAGGAGTGTTAGGTGTGTGTGCCTCCTGCACATCACATGAAAGTCAAACAGGGTATCAGCTGACTTCCCTATTCTCTTTCAGCCTATTGCTTTGAGATGGGGTCTCTGACTGAACCACAGCCTGGTTTGGGGGGCACTGGCTAGCCAGTGAGCTCTTGGGATCTGTCTCTCCCACCTCCAAGTGCTGGGGTGACATATGCATAGAAAAATGCCCAGTTTCTATAATCAAATCTGAAAATGTTTCCAAAGAGAATGCCCTGCTCTGAGTGTATAGAGAACCTAATGCCCGCTTTGAGTGTACTGAGAACCTAATGTTCACTCTGAATGTACTGAAAATCCTTCCACAGAATTTTAAAATTTCATACTCTTCAATCCAGAAATTCCATTTCTGGCAATATAGACATCACCTTAAAAATGGAAAAAGATTTTCACAAAGATATTTTGGGTAGAGTTATATATAAGTTAAATAAAAAAACCCACAAAAGCCTAACTATCCTGAAAGAATATGTTTAATTAACTAAAATACACTGAAAAAAAAATCAACTTCTGATTCAGTTAAAGGAAGGGGAACTCAGATGCCAGGAGAACCCACAACAGAATCTCTGAATATCCTGACTCTGCAGGGCACACAGGCTACCTCCAGTCTCTGACAAATGTCTCTAACTTACAATAACACTATCTTCCTCCACAGGCTGTCCTGAGTGAGCTCAGGAGTTTAAGCACATTAATTTTGGCCACACACTTTAAGTTCTTGAGAGATACGTTATTATCAGAAGGTTAAAGCACAGACTAAAAGACCTTGGGAACATGAGTATGTCTTTCACAACTTATGTGGACAACATGGAAATAATTCTGAAACAACTAACAGGAAGGGCCCAGGCACCCACTGAGAGCTGGGTCACATCCTTTTCATCATTACACCAGGAAAGCCCTTCTACAGATGAAGGTTAAGGAAACTCGGACAGTCAAGGCTAAGGGAGCAGCAATTAAAGGAGTTCTCTATCGTATGTAGTTGTCTTAGGAGATACACGAAACACTAAACTACATTCCCAAAATATATGGGAAGGCATCTATCTAAACCCACATCCACAATATATTCTCTCTCTCTAGATGAATAATGAAATAAATGAAAATCTACCTAGCTAGAAATCTCATTAAAAACATGTATTGAAATGGATTTTTACTTATTATTGGTTATTAAAGCTCAGAATCAACATGGATCCAATAGCTTAAATTACATGTTGAAGATAAAGCAAATTTGCAATGTAGATGAGACAGACCCACTGAATGGAACAGCCAATGGGTGAGAGGTGCCACCCAGTTTGAGTGTCTTACTAATTATTAATGAGGTTCAAGATTTTTCTTCTGCAAGTAATCAAAGCAAACAAACAGAAGGCTAGCAGTTAGGACAATCCAATGGCAGTGAGGGAAGGAACTTCCCCTCACCTGTGGAGCGAAGAGGCCTGCTCATCATCGACTCTCCTGCTGTATGTTCAGTAGGCACCTATGACACTAGGCCCTCAACTCACCAATTTCATTCTGCAGAGAAAGATTCCGTGACAAATTCCTCAGCAGGGAGACGGCAGTCTTTTTTACACTGGGATCTCCCACGTGCAACATCTTTCGGGTGTGCTGAAGACCATTTTCCTTCTGGACAACCATTCGAGCTACTGATGTGGGCATCTGTCGTGAGACACATCCTGTCAATGCTACACATTTGGTATCAGAGAAATAAGTCCTTTGTAGATTCCAGAGGTCGAGGGACAGTAAAAGCTAGAACTCTAATGAAAGCAGTTTACATACATTTTCTTTAAATTCTTTTAGATTTTCAACATACTTGCTGAATAAAAATATTTTTCCGGCTGGGCAGTGGTAGCACAGGCCTTTAATCCTGGAGGAGGAGGCAGGAGGATCTCTGAGTTTGAGGTCAGACTGATCTACAAAGTGAGTTCCAGGACAGTCAGGGCTACACAGAGAAACCCTGTCTCGAAAAACCAAAATAAATAAATAAACAAACACTTCATTACTTTTTTGCATCTCTGTTTATAAGTAAATAGGGTGGGACTTTACTCTGTACTACACTTTGAAGCTTGCGGAAGACAGAGGAGGACATCAGGCGTCATCTATTGTCTTCCACTTTATCCCTTTGAGCCAGGGTTTCAGGGAACCAGAATACTGGTGTTTCTGCTAGGCTGGCTGTAAGCTCTTGGGATCCACATGTCTCCATTATTCCAAGGTGGCCATGCTGCTTTCTCTGGTTGTGCCTTTAACGGCTGAGCCATCTCTCCAGCCCAGCTATGTTGGTTTTTTTGTGGGTGTAGGGCAGTCAAACTGAGGTCCTTGTGTGGTCAAATCCAACCAAACCCACAAAGATGAGCTTATATTAGAAGAAGAGTTCAAGAAGATAGAAAAAACAGTGTCCAATTAAGTTGCTATTACTCAAATCTTGATTTCAAAAGTTCAGTACAAGAGCACTGGGAGATACCCAGTGGCCACAAGTACTCACGACCACAGGGACCTCAGTGAAGACACTTACATTAGGAATAAAGACATTTTCTCAAAAGTTTCTGTTCCCTCCAAGAGTGTGCTTATGTATGGGGATATATAACTGAAGATTGGTTATGTCATGAACTATCTTGGCGTGATTAGTTTCTGATCAAAGTATATATAAGCTTAGTTCTAATAATGATTTAAAACAGAATATGGAAACACATAACGGACACACAATACATGGCACAGACAATTACCTTCTGCCATATGCTTTGACTTTGGCGATAAAAAGTAAGTCACTAGAAAGAGAACGAGCTCTGCCCTGTGGGTGGGTTCCCAAGACACAGATGTGTAGATGCCCTTTCAAACCCCATGCTCCTGGAGACACAACTGCTTTTACCCACGAAGAATGCACTATTTCTTTTGGTGTGAACACTGACTTTCTGCAAGGGAATTTTCTTTTACAAGTAGAGCAAGAGGCAAGTGATCCCTGCCAGTGCAAACCTGTACCCTGGGCACTGTACCCAGACCAGGTCAACTAACATTACCGTCTCCTCCCAGAGCCCTGTTGAGATACAAATCAGGCCAGTGAGACACCTTTGCTGAGTTCTTTTTTGATTTTTCATGACAGGGTTTCTCTGTGCACCCCTGGCTGTCCTGGAACTCGCTCTTTAGACCAGGCTGGTGTCAAACTCACAGAGATCCACCTGCCTCTGTCTCCCAAGTGCTGGGATTAAAAGTGTGCGCCACCAACGCCCAGGCCTTCTCTGAGTTCTTAATGGCATTACTTGCGGGGACACCAGGGTAGTAAGATGTAAGCCTGGGGTCATTCCTAGCTGTCTTCATTACTATGTGCACGTAGAACCCAGAGACGTTCAAGACTAATTAATCATAAAGGAACAGACCTACCCCAGAGCTCTGAGTTCCAGATATGAGAAGTACCTTCCTTTCCCTCTGCATGTTTCTTGACTAGCTTGAGGCAGGGTTCTGAGGACTGTAATGGAAGAGCCAATGTGTTGTTTTTGTAATTGTAGTGTGATGCAGCTTTACAGAAACCGCAGCTGAAATCCTGGTGGTTTCTGAGAACTGTCTTGGCTGGAATGAGGAAACCTTTGCTCCCACCTGACTGCTTCACCTCTGCACCTAAGGTCACTCTGTCTACAATGCCCTCAGGTTGAGAAGTAGAAAAGCTGGCACGAGACTCACCGGGCCACCTCCTGCTGTGAGATTCTGGAGAGCTCCTAAGGATGCCTCTTGAGTATAGTTTCGGGCACTCTTGGCAATTAAGGACAAATACATCCTTATCACGATGGAATGCCACAGCCACTCTATGCCCCGGGGGCTGCTCTTCTCCTCCGGCATTGGCATCTCTTGGTATTGCTAAGCACACACAGAGTAAATGCGCTTCAGCTGATGCCTACAACTCCGTACCCACACCCAGACCAGAAACACTGTCTAGAAAGATTAGCAAATCAGAAAACCAGTATATACGCTTTTCAATTACTTAACGTTCAGCTCACAGCAATGACTTCTTTCAAAACTCACTCTCTCCAACTTTACACTTCACAGTAATTAAACACAGGTCCTAAAATGGTTTCCAGCTGCATTTAACCATCGCTTTGAAGAAAAAAGGTTTGTTCCCTCAAGGGCTTATACAACTGTTTGAGAGAGTATCGAGGCTCTAAATTTGCCAGCCATTTTCCAAATGTAAAATGACCAGAACACGAAGGATACAGTAGTTCCCATTCTCTTCACTTCTGAAAGAGATATGCCATCTTTTCTAGGAAGTTTGCTTTTAATGTGTTCACAGTTTGTTTTTAGGCTACACAATGAAAACACCACGGCTTCTAGTGGTGTTTCAGCAGTGATTGTATTTCAGCCCACAAAGGACACAGGCAGCATGGTTTAATAGCTAACAACAAATCAGCAGCCAGATTAGTGGGAAGTGAATTTTATCCCCTTCACCCAGGCATTGAATTGATGTAGGAAAATTAACAAATTTTTCTGTAGCCGTTTCCTTATTGGTGAAGCCTCACAGGAGGACTGATGTGAGAGCTAAATTTGAAACAGTAGCTGACATACTCGGGAGTGAGAGTCCCTTCACCCCCATCTGTCTCTCCGGACATACCTCTTTTACTTTTCTACTCCGATTGCCAAAACACCCAATACTTTTGTTACTGTTAGTCTGGATATTCCGGTTTTGCATGTAGATACCCTGGGAATACTTCTCTGGGAGCTCTGCCTCCAGCTGGTAGGAAAGGTTATGAAGAATGCACACACAGTTCTCTGTGGCCTGTGAAAACAACACGAATACTGCTCGTATACACACGACAAGGTTATTTAGGCCTCAGCTCTACATCCAGCGATTACTTTAACAGCATGAAGCGTTGAAGTAAGTCATATTGGCAATCTGGTGTGAGGATGCACAACTCTTGAGTTACCTTATCATCTGGCTGGTAGTCTGCGATAGTTCCTCTGACATAATGGACCAACGAGTCAATGAGCCCATCACATTTTCTCATTGTCTTCCTCCCGTCAGGGCCAGCTGAGCTCATGTTTCTTTCAAGAACAACAAAAAACTGTAAGATACATACTATGTATCCCAAAGGCCTGTGTGAGACATATGCTATGTATCCCAAAGGCCTGTGTGACACAAATGCTATGTACCCCAAAGGCCTGTGTGAGATGCATACTATGTATCCCAAAGGCCTGTGTGAGATGCATACTATGTATCCCAAAGGCCTGTGTGACACAAATGCTATGTACCCCAAAGGCCTGTGTGAGATGCATACTATGTATCCCAAAGGCCTGTGTGAGATGCATACTATGTATCCCAAAGGCCTGTGTGAGATGCATACTATGTATCCCAAAGACCTGTGTGAGACATATGCTGTGAATCTCAAATGCCAGTGCAAGGCCTGTGCTATGAACCTAATAAACAGGTCTGAGTTTGAAAGCTTTATTTAAGGCTTCTTCCAGGTGTTTGGAAACTGGCACACAAGCAAAAATCTGAGAGCTTGTCATCATTACAGTAAATCATTAGCTGCCTAATGTCAAAACTGAAACTATAAGCACACAATCACATCAGTAAGTTTTCTATCTGTTTCACCCATGTTATCAAGGCCCAGACATGATTTATTAAATCTTGCCCATATTTTTGACAGGCAAATGTTTGTAACTAAAGGAACATGGCACACTAGACATAGATTATGCTATGTGTCCAAGTCCCAATTGCTCCATGTGTTAACTATAAATAGCCTGAAGTTGTCCTGGCCTCACTTTGCTTACCTGAAAAAGTGTGGACTCTCTGTTGCTTGAGTCCCGAAGGTTTTTATACAAACTGTTATTAGCCAATATTAAACCTGCTACTCTAAAACACGACAGTCCTCTCCTTCAGATGGTAGAGCTGTCAGAGAACATGCACTTCCAGGGTCTGTGATACCTGACCTATTAATATCTTTGCGCTTACTCTTTTTCTAATTTTGCTAAGCCATGATCACAAATGGAGGCTGCTTCCTTATAGAGAAATGCAGCTTATCTAATATGGTAAATAGAGTACTTGGTCATCACACTGCAGATTCAGGTCATATTTATATTCTTTGTTATTACCTCTATATTTCTTTGCATTAAGTTTTTCTTTTAATCAATAGCCACTCAAAAAAAATTCCCCTGGAGAATGTTAACACATCTGCCATCTATAGGCTGATCCCTGTGAAACCAACAATGCTTGGCTGTTTGTTTTTTTTTTTTTTTAATGAGACAGGGTTTCTCTGTATTGTTTTGGAGGCTGTCAGTCCAGCCTGGCCTCGAACTCACAGAGATCCCCCTGCCTCTGCCTCCCGAGTGCTGGGATTAAAGGCATGTGCCACCACCGCTCGGAGCTTGGCTGTTTTTAACTACCAAAATGGCATGTTCTCAATTCAGCTTAACAGTGGAGGAGAGAAGACAGTACTGACAAGTTAATGGTTGTTGAACTGACACAATGGGAAATTTGACATTAACAAACTATAGCACAAAGAGAGATGCTCTCTCAGCCTGGACTCTTAGGGGAGTGCCTTGACCCTACCAAGAGTAAAATGATAGACTCTAGACATCCCCTATGTGGAAGGATTTGGCAATAGGGTGGGAGGGAGGGTGGAAGGGGAGTGCGGGAGGAGGGGAGGGAGAGGGAACTGGGATTGACATGTAAAACAAGCTATTTAAAATTAAACAAACAAAAAAAAACTCCTTCATGACTTTGATTCTTCACAAGTCTCCTCACATTAATTTTCGCTGTATGTAAAAACCCCCATAACTCTGTCAATTCCAAGACAAGATGGAGGCTGGTGAGATGGCTTAGAGGTAAAGGAGACGGCTGCCAAGCCCAAGGGTCTGAGCTTGATAACGGTAGACACGTGGTGGAGAGAAGCGACTGGCCAAGCTGTCCTCTGACCTTCACACACATATCCGTCCCAGTATGAACACATTTTAAAGACAAGGAATGGGTTTACTAAGTGGAAACAAAATCATGTTGACTATAGTTTTTTCTTAAGAAATGGTCATTTAAGCTGGCACCAATCTATCTCTGTTTGCTCTGGGCCATTAGTCTGTTCAGAAGCATGCTAGCTGGGTGGTGGTGGTGCAGGCCTTTAATCCCAGCACTTGGGAGACAGAGGCAGGAGGATCTCTGTGAGCTTGACGCCATCGTGTCTACAGAACGAGTTCAAGGACAACCAGGACTGTTACACAGAGAAACCCTGTTTTGAAAAACAAAACAAAAAAGAAGCCTGCTGACCATTTTAATCCTGGGGTATACATTTCTGTTGGGTGTTTCAGACCATGAAGGTAGTCATCGTTAACCATTTTTCTTCTCTACTGTCAAGGCCACATGAGGGACTGGTCCTTGGGGATCCCCTGGGCTTAGGAGGAGCCCCTGTCTCCTTTAGCCTGGGAAGAATCATAACAAGGTTCACAGGAACTAAAAACACAATTCAGTCTCCCAATTCCTCAAACGAAGAAGAAGCCAAGAAGACTTTAAATTACTTTTCCTGCTGACAATAACTTAGTGGTAATGTGAGGCCATTTTTTTCCCAGATTTTTTAAAAATTTAAATTAGAAACAAACCTGTTTTACATGTCAGTCCCAGTTCCCACTCCCTCCCTCCTCCCCTGCCCCCCAGTAGCCCTCTATCCCATCCCCTTTCTGCTCCCCAGGGAGGGTGAGGCCTTCCATGGGGGAATCTGTCATATCATTTGGAACAGGGCCTAGGCCTTCCCCTGTGTATCTAGGCTGAGAGAGTTTCCCTCTATGTGGAATGGGTTCCCAAAGTTCATTCATGTACAAGGGATAAATACTGATCCACTTCCAAAGACCCTATAGATTGCCCAGGTGTGAGGTCATTTTTTTCCATTTTATTTTTATATGTATGAGTCTGTGCACCATGCCCGTGCAGTGCCTGGGGGATAGGGAATCAGATCCCCCAAGATTGCAGTTACATGATTGTGAGATGTTGTATGGGTGCTGGGAATTGAATTTGGGTTTTCTGTAAGAGCGTTCAGTTCTGTTAGCTGCTAAGCCATCTCTGCAATCCTATAGGAGGACTATTTTTTTTATCCTATGCAGAGTGTGTACAGGATAAACATTCAATCTTCCTGCTTGTTGTTTAGCAAATATGACATGTCCCCAACCACAAGACTCTCTTCATGTTTCAAAGCTTCTGATCTTTTCCAGCCTCCGGATTAGAGAAATGACCCTTTAAAACTGCCCTGACGAGTCAAAGGTCAGTCTTGTTTACTAGCTGGACCTCTGCAGAGTTTGCAAAGGGGACTTAGCCTTGTCTAACTTCAGTGCTTATTCCTGTCTGGATGGTAAGGCAGTGGCGCTGCTGCCAGTAACTGTTATCTGGTAGTCTTCACTATCCAGACACTGCTGCTTGAAATAGGACTTATCAGGGGTTTCTGGCAGTTGACATCTTTGCTGACAGGAAGTGCAAGGAACCCTGATGTACAGTACTGCCCCTACATATCAAAAATATTTCCATATCACACAGCTATCCAAAAATATAAACAAGGGTAGACATTCCCACTTCACCTGTGGACCTGTGGATGGAAGCCATTACACAGAAATAAAGTAGTATTATACTACTCTGATAAAACCCAGTAATTTATGTAAAATGATATTGATCTGAAAGTATTTTTCAACAGTTTGTAGGAAACAGAATGAACTCAGAATGTATCCTTTTACAGTATGCCTCCTGAATCCTGAGAAATACTTTTTTATTACTCTTTCCTTATGTGACCTAATGGAGACTTAACATAGAGAATACTGCAGAAGTATAAATTAAATATACCAAAACAACCGTTCTAGTGCAAAGTAAGAATGAGCTTCTAAAACCAGTCCTCAGTCACAAGTGTGCCGTGAGTGGAGATGCCACCCACTCAAGGTTCACTCAGCTATACCTCAAGGCAGTGTCTGCAGCCAATGACTGGTCCAGGGCTCTCCTTGTCTGGGAGCAAATCTGTGATTCTGGACCACCTCCAAGACTTCCCCATTCCCAAGTATCAAATTAAGAGAGCAGAAGCACCCTGGCCCTGGAAGACTGTGTGCCTCTATTAAGATTAACAGTGTCATGATGGAATCATCTTTCACACAGTAATAGCATCGGAAAACAGCCCTAGTGTTGGGGAAGTCCTGTTATTTGTCAATAAAGTACTGTTGAGCCTATAGAAAACCTAGATAGGAGGGACTAGGAGTCGAGGAGGATTCTGGGAAAGAAAAAGACAAGAGAGTTCGAGATGTAACCGCCATTGGGGTAGGAAGCCTGGAAACCTCTCCGGTAAGAGACATACTTAGATTAACAATTATGGGGTAATTACTTAAGTCAGAGCTAGCCAGTTAGAAACAAGCAAGGCCAACAGCTTCATAATGAATATAGCCTCCTGTGTGTTTATTTGAGACTCATGCGGCTCTAGAACCAGGCTGGAGCGGCAGAGCCCAGGCGACTGGTGGGGGATAAACCAAAGCGGCTAGCAAAAGAAAAAGCTTCACATAACACCCTAGGAATAGACAAATGAAACTACATGAAATTAAAGTTTCTGTACAGAAAAAGAAACAATAAACTGATAGCCTACAGAATGAGAGAAAAAAAATTCCAGCTACACCTCAAATAAGGGGTTAATTCTAGAACATAAAAGGACTTCAGAAGTTAAAAACCAAAGACACAGCCAGGCATTAGTGGCACACGCCTTTAATCCCAGCACTTGGGAGGCAGAGGCAGGAGGATCTCTGTGAGTTCCAGGCTAGCCTGGTCTACAGAGCGAGTTCCAGGACAGCCTCCAAAACAATACAGAGAAACCGTGCCTTGAAAAACAAAACAAAACCAACCAACCAAACAAACAAACAAACAAACAAACAAAACAAAACAAAAAAACCACACCAAAGACACAAAGCCGCCAATCAATAAAGAAGCCAATGATCCCAACTTTTCAAAAGAACTGCAAATGGACAATGAACCACTAGGGGGCACTAAGTGGGGCACCTGTTCAGCTTTTATAAAGTCCTAGGTCCCATTCCTTGTAGCT